CGCGCCGTTCTTCCTGCTGGCAGGCCTCGAACCGTCCATCGCGGTAGCCACGTCCTCCACCTGCGTCGTCTTCACCTCCTCCTCGACCACGCTGCAGTACGTCCTGACCGACAGGCGACCACGATGCAGTCAAGGGTACCTTCTTTCCCCCCCTCTTGCTCCCGCGCGCGCGTGCTGGCAAGAGGGAGGGCCGCACCATGGCTGATTTTGCCCAAGCCAGTCTGAAGAGCCGGCGAGACCAGCGAAAGCTCACATGTACCATTGGCAAACAAAAACTAGATCACATCATTCTCACAGGTTTTATATTGTCAATAGTTGTACTCGCGCCATTGTCGTGCAGGGCCAGGACCAGGTTCCAGAGCGTCTGGGAACGCTCTCAGAGCGTTCCGTGGCGCTCTGGAACGGCCGCGGCGCCCGATGCATCCCCCAGTATTCCCCAGGACCGCCAGGTCTCCAGTCCGATTTTGTGTCCCGCCCTTGGTTTCGTCTTACAAAGTTGGCCTCCCTCTCTGTCTCCCACACAATCCTCCTTCTTTGGCAAGTCCCCCCCCCAATCCGACTCCGGCTCCAGCTGTTCGGACTCTGGCTCGTGTCTGAGCAATTCCAGCATTTGCATTTTCGCTTGCGACTCCACCTCCCGTCTCTCCGCTTCCAGTTCCTGTCTTTCGACTCCAGTTCCCATCTTTCCGACTCCAGTCCACATTTTTCCGACTCGAGCTGTCAGCGTCCCGATTCCCCTCCCCGTCTGACGTCCACCGCTCTCCGAGTGTGGCAGTCGTCGCTCTGGCTGGCCCCAGAGCGCACTCTCTTCTCCGGCCACGGACGCATCCTCTCTTCCTCCCCCTCTCATCCGACTCCAGCTCCTGTGTCTCCGGCTTCGGCTCCAAAACGCCCTGATGTTTGGCCATGTCTCCCGCCCGCCCGCGCTGACCTCGCATCACCAGCCTCAAACCTATCCCGACCCCTTGGCATCACCTTTCCTCGGTGCCGAGCGCATCCCGCGGGCTGTCGTCGCCCTAAGCCTAGGCTCGTGGATCCTTGGGATGGGGGTGAGCCCGAGGCCCGCCATCGTAGGGCCGTTCGCCGGATCGCCGGTGCAGGCTCGCCTCGCGCCCCCCCGTCCCTTCCCCCTCCCCTTCGTCTCCACCATCTCCGCGTCCCCCTCGGCCTCGATGCCGGTGCCCGTCCTCCTCCCCCCGAAGGGCTCCGCCTCTTCCTCTTGGGGCGCAGCTCCTGGGAGGGTAGATTCAGCATCGGCGCTGGTACATCAGCGGCCTAAAGTTGGCAACATCCGCCAGAGTCCCGCTGAATCCAGCGCAATCCAACTTGATCTGGCTCAGTCCCTGGCCTAATCCGGCCCAGTTGCTTGTTCATCGGGTTGAATTGCCCTGAGTCGTTCAGACCTCCCCTGAAGACGCCTCCAAACTCATACTGGCCGTCTTCTTGTCCGAGTTCTAACCCCTCTCTCGTCTGATCGCCTCCCTCTCCCGCCCTCCCGTCCGGCAGAGGGTGATGATGTCGCTCGCCGTGGTGTACGGCCTCGTCAGCCTTGGTGCCTCCTTCATCGGCACGCGCTTCGTGCACTTCCTGCAGGACTGCCGGCGCCATGCTCCCAGGCGAGGGACGGTACGGCAGGTTCGCGTCGCGTCGACCGGCGGCGACCCCAGGGCGTGCGCTTCAGGTTGAACGCCGTCCGTGGCCCAGAATCGGCCCGTCGTTGAACGATCCGGCGCCCACGGAACGGCCGATCGTTCGAGCTCGAACGACCCCTGCAGCGCCAGGAGCCATCGCCGGGGTCGACACGCCGCGAGCTTGCCGCACAGCCCAGGCGCTGAGGTCGAGACCGCGTTCGCCTCCAGGGAGGGGCCCCGGTTCCCGGGCCACGCGTCGGGGGGAGCGTGTCCGTGGCCTGTGCTCGCCGTGGCCGGAGAGGCCCTTCCGTTCCCGGTGTCGCGTGTGAGTAGCCAGGACCCCAGGCAAGGGGCCCCGGTCAGTGGTAGGGTTGAGGCGGGCTTGTCCTTCTACAGGAGGAATGTTCAAGAATAGTCAAGAAATAACATGGGTGCTATTTTGGGGGCATTTGTTGACCAGTTTGGAGTACGTTGCGGGTATTTATATATTTTTGTCGACCATCCCCCTGTAGGGGGACACGCCCGACTTAATGGTAGGGCCTCCGAGCCCCTTAGATGGGTCAGGATCACTACAGTCAACCTGCAGAGTACGGATGGGCAACCTTCCGAAGGATACCCTTGCATCCTTGCCCTTTCGGCCCATCCTTAGCGACTGTCGCTGGCCAACTCCGTTCGAGAAACGGTAACATGGGCCTCCAAGGCCCTTGCATCCTTACCGCGCATCCTTCTGCCGTAGCTAGTGTTTGTTCGCGTGACGGCAGTTCCGGTTGGTGGAACGGGGCGGGGGGGGCGTCCCCCAGTGCACATCCCTAAACCAGGTCGTTTTAAACCCAGTTCTGCCAACGCCCGATAGTTGATCACTCCTTGTGGCCAATGGCCTTGTGGTAGCACGACGACTGCAACCACCGCCAGGGCTGACCGGAGCTGTTCTCGGCTCCGAGGACCTGCTGCACCGCCGCCAGGCCTCCACGGGACAGATCGGCCCAAGTCATGTGGGCGCACCTGCTGCTGCTGCTGCTGCTGCTCCTCCCCCTAACCTGCACAAGTGCCACAATTACGCAATAGGAATACTACTCTTAAGTCGGGTCTGCCCCTCTACAGGAGGAATATTCAAAAATAGTCACAAAACAAAAGTCTTGGGACGATGTTTCGATTATGTTTCCACTCTTTGGGAGTGCATTTTGACTTGAAAAAATGTGTCGCCCAAAATCCGCCTGTAGGGAACCATGCCCGACCTAATACTACTCTCCTCTCCCCCCTCCGCGAATTTGTTTTTCACATAGGATTCCCGGGAGTTGGGTTTTCGTTTGGATTTTCGTTGCAAATTGATGCTCTCGCTGAAGCGCTGGCCTCATTTTCGGGCTACCGCTCGCTCCGAATCTTGCTCCCGCTCCAGCGTTGGCCTCATTTCCGCGCTTCCGGATCGTGCTCCCGCTGCAGCGGTGGCGTCATTATTGCCAGCGCCATGCCCCGGCATGGTTTTCGGTCCTTCCAAATAGGCCCCAGAAGCTAGAAAATGCCACCCGACAAAGCCATCGGAAGTGATTGAACATTCGGTGTCGATTCGTTGATTTTTTGAGCCGCAGAAGCCCACCCCCCCCCCCCACCTTGGGGCGTCGCCACGCCATGCTATGTCATGCTACGCGTGGATCTTCGACACCATGCTATGCCATGTAATGCTATGCCATGATACGACATATGATTGTGCGAATAAGGAGGAGATCTACGCCGTGGTAAGGGATGGGAGGGAGGGGTAGGACGTCAGATATGACGCGAGCGCACCCAGCTTGCCCTCCTCCCCTCTCCCTCCCTCTCCACCCCCTCTCCTCCTCCTAATCTTCCTCCTCCTCCTTCTCCGCCTCCTCCTCCTTCGCCTCCTCCTCCTGCTCCTCCTCCTACCCCGTCCAGTTTGCCATGTCGGGGCTTTCTGGTGTGGGACGGTATTCATTCTAAACGCTTCGCGTAACCCTGCGAGTTTATCGAGAAATGATGCCCAGGAGAGTTGCCTTGATCAGGGATGTCGAGGAACATGGATTGGAATCAACTATTGGGGAAGCCGTCCTACCCCAAGAGAAGGAGGCCGGGAGGAGGATTCGGAGGAGGAGGAGGACAGGGAGAGGGAGGATGGAGGAGGGAGGAGGGAGGAGGAATAGGCGGATGATCATGATGTTCATGCTGATCATTGTGATCATGGTGATCGTGTTGATCAGTTTGATGATAATGATGATGGTGGTGATGTTGATGTTGATGATGATGTTGACGATGATGATGATGATGTTGATGATGCTGATGATGCTGATGATGATGATGCTGCTGCTGCTGATGGTGATGCTGATGCTGATGATGATGCTGATGATCAAGATCATGCTGATGCCGATGCTGATAGTGATGATGATGCTGATGCTGATGGTGATCATGATACAAATGATGATGATGATGATGCTGGTGGTGACGATGATGATGCTGCTGATGATGATGGCGAGGAGGAGGATGAGGATAATGATGATGGCGATGCTGCTGATGATGCTGCTGATGATGCTGCTGATGATGCTGATGATGCTGATGATGATATTGATGATGATGATGATGATGATGATGATGATGATGATGATGATAAGGATGATGATGATGATGATGATGATGATGATGATGATGCTGCTGATGATGATGGTGAGGAGGAGGATGAGGATAATGATGATGGCGATGCTGCTGATGCTGCTGATGATGCTGCTGATGATGCTGATGATGCTGATGATGATGATGCTATTGATGATGATGATGATGATGGATGATGATGATGATGATGGTGATGATGATTATGATGATGATGATGATGGTGATGATGATGATGATGATGATGATGATGATGATGATGACGATGATGATGATGATGATGATGATGAATGATGATGACGATGACGATGACGATGACGATGACGATGAGGAGGACGATGGGAGGAGGAGGAGAGGGGAGGAGGGAGGAGGGGAGGAGCTCCCTCCTCCTCCCCCCCTTCCCCCCCACTGCCCCCCCCCATCCCGCATCCCCCCCCCCTCCCTCTTCCCCCCTCCCTCCCCCCCTCCCCCATTCTACCCCACCCCTCTCCATCTCCCCTCCCCTCCTTCCCCCCGCCCCCCCTTCCCCCTCTTCCCTCCCCCATTTTCCTCCTTCCCCCGCCTCTCCCTCCCTCTCATCCCCCCGCCCCCCACCGCCCCTCCTCTTCCTTCTCCCCCCATCTCCCCTCCACACTTAGTCAATATAACTACACTCTCCTCCTTCCCCTGATGGCGTGCGGAAGATGGCGGGCACCCCTCCGCGTAGAGTTCTCGTCCTCTCGTACATCTCTTCTTCTGATCCACAGCCGTTTTCCTTCACGGTGCGGCCGCAGCCTCAGCTCGATTGCCAGGGCGCCCAAGGAGCCATGCAGCGCAGCCCCCGGTTGCCCGCCCTCCTGCTGCTGCTCGGCCTCCTGGCGGCCCTGCTCCAGCTGCAGTCGCACCCCGCCAGCGGCTTCGTGCAGCCCAGGTCAGGGGCAACAGCACGCCGCTCGTTGAAAGGACGTGTTTTGGGATGTCCGGGTCCAAATCCACTTTGGGCGCCTTCCTACTTCAGGAGCCGAGGGGTATTCCCTTTGTCCTCGTCCTCAGGGGGCGTGCGGAAGCGCAGTCCATGTTCAACGCCTCCCTACTTCATGTTTCTATTCAATTCTTCATGTTTCTACCCATGGAAGTCGCCTACTTTTAAGCGCCTTCCTACTTCATGTTTCCTACGTCATGTTTATACCCAGTAGGAAGGCGCCTACTTTAGGCGCCTTCCCACTTCGTGTGCCTGCCTAGTCCTTCACACCGACGGGTAGGGGGGGATGGGCGCAGGCTCGGGGCGGGAGGCATCGGCCCGCAATCGCCCATGGATCGCCGATTTTGGGCCCGACGGGCCCGTCCCGGAACGTGCGGGTTCGCCATCAGGGGCCTATCGCCGAGCCATCGGCGACGTGTCGTCATTGCAAGGTCGATTCAGGAGGGGGAAGAACAGCACAGACACAATTCATCGTCGACTCCTAGGGGAATACTTGAAACTGTTGGAAGTGCGGGGGAAGACGAACACTGGGAAACTATAGGAGGATATGGGGGATCCTGGTGTGTGTGTCTGTCTGTCTGTCTGTCTGTCTGTCTGTCTGTCTGTCTGTCTGTCTGTCTGTCTGTGCTTTTGTATGTCTGTCTGTCTGTCTGTTTGTTTGTTTGTTTGTTTGTGTGTGCGCGTGTCTGTGTGTGTGTGTCTGTGTGTCTGTGTGTTTGTGTGTGTGTGTCTGTCTGTGTCCGTATCGATGTCTATGTTTGTGTCTGTGTCTGTGTCTGTATGTGTGTGTGTGTGTCTGTGTGCCTGTGTGCCTTTGTGTCTGTGTGTGTATTTGTTTGTGTGTCCCTGGGCCCCTTCAAAGGTCGATGTTTCCCCCCCTCGAGCTGCCCCCCCCCGTGTCGCGGCCCCTCGCCAGGGCGGGCCCCGCGGCGGTCTCCAAGATCGTGCTGCACGCGGCGCCGCAGACGGGATTCCAGAGGAGGAAAAGATGCCGAGATATCGCTACCTTCGCTCCATCTCCTCCATCTCATACATCTCCTCCTCCCTCCGCGTCCCTCCTCCCCCCCCTCCTCCTCCTCCTCCTCCCTCCTCCTCCTCCCCCCCCCCTCCCTCCTCCTCCTCCTCCTCCTCCTCCTCCTCCTCCTCCTCCTCCTCCTCCTCCTCCTCCTCCTCCTCCTCCTCCTCCCTCCTCCCTCCTCCCTCCCTCCCTCCCTCCCTCCCTCCCTCCCTCCCTCCCTCCTACCTCCTCCCTCCTTCCTCCTCCCTCCTTTCTCCTCCCTCCTCCCTCCTCCCCCTCCTCCTCCCCCCCTCACCACTTCCACCTTCCCACGCCTCCTCTTCCTGCTCATTTCTCCCTCTCTGCCCCCCCGTCCCCTGCCGCCCACGACCCGACAGCCCTGGCCCTGGGCCCGCCCTGGGCCCGCCCTGGGCATGCCTCGTTCTCGCAGTGTTGGTCCGTCTGGGCGGCAACCGTCACCACGGCTGGACCCGCCTCGAAGTTCTGGTCATCACGCACAAGGGGAGAGGTCCAGGGAGCAGCGGTATCGGAACCTCTTGGCGTCTCCAGGAGTCGTGACCAAGTTCGAGAGCGCCAATGGCGCGGAGGACCCCCTGGGGCCGACCGGGGACGTCGAGGACCAGGTGTATCAGCCCAACACGTACATGCTCGAGAAGGACAGAGCAAAAGCCAAGGGCCAGGGCGCCAACGACTTCAGCATGGTGCTCTACACGGTCGGCCTCTGGGTCGTGATCATCACCGCCTGGTTCCTGTACAGGTCCTTCGTCGCCCCTGACGCCCCCTAGGCTCGGGGTCGAGCAGAAGTCGTCACGAGGAAAGGTGTCCTGGGGGAATCGTGCCCTGGAGTTTTTTTGTGCTTTGAGTGTTCGACCTCCTGCTGCTCCTCCTCCTTCTCCTCTTCCTCCTCCTCTTCCTCCTCCTCCTCCTTCTCCTCCCCCTCGGGGGTGCTGTGACCTTCAACAAACTTTTCATGATGGACGAAGCCCCCGGGTCCAAGACCTGTTACCCTCAGGACCCTCTATTCTCATGGCAAGCAAAGGAGAGGGTGGGCACGAAATCTGCTGCATGCAGCCAGTGTCAGCCCCGACGCAAAGGCGCCTCCTTGGCTCTGGACGCCCGAAATGGGTACGGAAAGAATGGGTACAATGCCCAACAGCAGCTCTTGCTCATTTTGAAAAGGACTCGCTGTCGGTGTCGCCGCGGCCTGTGTACATTTGAGACAGAAGGCCGCCTGCCCAACAGCGGCCGCTGTTGGTTTGGGACAACATTTGTTGTTGGGCATTGTGCCCATTCTTTCCGTACCCATTTCGGGCGTCCAAATTGGCGCTGGGAGGCGCCGGGGGAAGAAAGCTGCGCGAGCGGATTTCTAGCCCGAGAGGCGGCGATGGGGGCGAGTAGCACAGGGGTGGGCATTGCACGCATCCGCCCGGGATCCTCGCCGATGGCATGGACCATGGGCGCCTTTGGTTACATGTGGGCGGGGCTAGGACAAGGATCGATTCGTTCCAGACTGTTCTGGAACGCTCTCACAGCGTTGCGGAGCGCTCTGAGAAGGCCGGGCGCCCGATACATCCCTGAGAACCGCCGGATCTCAGAGACCTCCGATCTACCCCCTTTTCCGAGCTCGTTCCTGCCTCGGCTTCGCCTCATACACGTGTTGCCCCCCGCCAGGGCTATTCGCCCCAGATCGTCGCCTCCGACCACCGCGAGCGCTCCCTTTGCTCCCCCCCTCCCCTCCGTCGGACCTGGCAGGCGCGCGCGCGGCGCCGCCCGCCGGAGCCCTGAGCGCCGTCGGCGGTCGTCGCAGCCGTCGTCCGCCGCCGCCGGCACGCGCAGCGGGGGGTCAGGCCGCGAGCGCGTCCAGGGGCCTGCCAGGAAGAGATGCCCCGATGCCAATGCTCGTCCTGGGGAGCCCTCCTCGCCACGGCTGGGTTCTCTTCGAGATTCTTAGCCTTGGCATCGCTCGGACGTGTGCATTTTTCCTTCGGCGAGGGCCATCGAGGAGCATCCTTGATCATTTGGCGAAAGAAACACGCACGAAACCGAAAAAAAACAGGGAATGGACGTCCGAGCGATGGCGCGGGGCTGGGGAGTAGCTAGCGGTCGGGAGCCTTGAGGCGGGGGTCAGCCAGAGCGCCGGACCTTGCAGGATCTTGCAGAGCCAGGGGTGCTCTGACCCTGGATTGCGCGCAGGATCCTGCAGGATCTTGCATGGCTTGACAGGCCCTGTTCGATGCGTTCCCGAGGTAGGGCACCAGGTCGTCGGGCTCGGATTTCACGGCGCGGCCAGTGATTCAGGTGGTTTGCGCCATTCCGCCGACCTCCATACGAGAAGCGAAGGCCACGAGCGAGGCCTTTTTGCCTGTCTGGAACCGCTGGAAGGGCCTCTGGGCCTTCTGGGGCCTATTTGGCGCCTCCTGGGGTCCGTTGGGCGCCTGCTGGCGGTCTCGGGGCTTTTTGGGGCGGACGGCTCGTCGAAATGGATGTTCGAGTTCCACCTCTTGAGATTATTTTTGGGCCATGGTGGTTCCGCAGTCGTTCACAAAATCAGATTCAGCGTAGCTCTTGTCCGCACGCTCGAAGATCGGCAGCATCCTGCACCCGTGGAGGCATCCCGGCGGCATGCGCAAGACTCTTGTGTTGAATACCATGGCGTACGTTGCCACAGAGAATCTTTCGGCAGTGATGAAATGCACCAGCTGATGTATCGAGCGCTGGTGAGCGCAAGCGGCACACTATACTATATATATATATATATATATATATGTATCAGGTTTGGTGCTATTGCCAAGACGCACAAGCCCCAAGGCCAATGCAAGTCGCGCGGTTTACATCGCATGAAGCGTCAATCACCAGTGTCCTTTGCGATGAGTTTTGCTTCCAGGCCTCTGACACCCCATCTTGCCCATGTGGACCAACTAGGTCGAGAAACGTGACATTTCTTACGCCAGCTTCGTGCTCTACGGTCCGACGTTATGGGATCTTTCATTAACGACAGCCATAACGCATTGGTCACGGAGTTCCCTCAGTTTCTCCGCGGTAGTGAATACGAGCAGTACCGGATCGCATCGCAGCTCGTTTTAGCCAGCTAGTGGGTCCTGGCACTTGATGGCCAGGGCGTGGAGCTATGACCAGTGACGTGCGGACATGGCATTGACATGATTCGTTATGGTGACGTCTCGGTTGCGTCATTATATCAGCTACGCTGGTTCTCGTGATGACGACTACGGGAGCACCGCTGGCCTTGCAACAGTTTCCTGGTTCAAGGGCGGCGCCAGAACGTTTTTGGAAAGCGCACAGCAGGATCGGGATTTGTTTTTTTTCACAGTCTTGTCAATGTGGGCGAGGCCATTTGCCGTCGAGCTCGAGACTGTGAGCTCGCAAGAGGCAACTTTTTTGGATGTAAAGATGCGCAGGCGGGCTGATTTTCTCAGGCGGCACCTTGGGCCATCGGGTGGATGTGAAGCGTTCGTCGCAACGTCGTCGCAGTGGGTTCCACTGGGGACTGGGTGGCGATTCTTTGCTCCGTCGGTGAACAGGGCATGGCCCGCGGCGGTTGTTTCGCGATACTTTCGCACGTGCTGAAGCGTCGTTTGTTGCGCACTAAGGGCGCGGCGGGGGCTGCGCGGAGCCCCAGCCGAGCTTTCGCACGCTGCTGCCAAGCTTTCTTATGTCGGCATGGCCGGCGCAGCAAACGCGCAATCAACATCGCCATCGCCCCGAGCGCGCGGGCTCAGTCATCCCGCCCAGGGCGCTGCCAGCCGTGCGGCGGGGAGCTCGCGTCGAGCGTGCGGAGTCATTCCCAAGGCGTTTTGTTTACGGTCCGGAAAGTTTGGACATCGCGTCACCCCGCGGGTTTTGGCCCGCGACGTTTCGGCGCGATGCGCCATCGACGTTCCGGAACGACGAGGACGCAAAGGAGTTTATAACGACATGCGTTCTCGAGGAGAGAGTTTGAAGATAACAGAGGAGCACTGAGCGTCGAGGTTCGCCGGAGCATCAAGGATCGATCAATCCGTTTTATTCACACATCGGGGCATGAGGCCTGCGAGAATTGGACCCATTTTGATGGGGCATGGCGTCGGTAGATTGATGTCTTCTGCGTGGACGCAAGGATGGCGACTTCCACGAAGTATTCATCAGCTGTGCCGGATACTGGGGTAGGAGTGGACACCAGAACAGTGCCACTAAATCTGAATACGGCCAGGTGCGTAGACGGCCTGGGGGCGCGTGCCAAACGTATGTGCAGAACCCGCTTTGTTGACCAGCCAGGTTTCCATGCCATTTTGGAAGGGGGAACTGCTGGGGGCGCGCGCGACAGAACAGCCCGGCGACGGCCTCCACGCAGCAGAAGTTTGTGGCCGCATCGAATCCGCAATGTCGTCGGCCACAGCGAAGCGCAAGGCGAGCGGTTCGATGCAGAAGAGCAAACGGACGGAACTGACTCCTCGGATTCGGCAGTTGCTGTCGGAGCGCAGAGCAGCCAGACAGAGCGGCGACGGTCACCAGTCACTGGCAAGCATCAGCAAGACATTGCAAGAAGAGTTGCGAGCATGGGAAAAGCAACGTAAGCAAGAACGCATCGATTGTATCCAGAGGGACTTTTCGGGCGTTGGGAGAATGCGCAACGTCTAGAATAATTTCAAGAAGCCGTGGTTGACGCGCGCGCAAAACAACGGCGGGGAAGAGGTCTCAGACAGACAGGGAATCACATTTGTGTTCGCCTCTTTCAATGAGGAGTTGCATTCCAGCCAGCAATGCCGCGGGCTCGAAGAGGACGCGTCATCAGCTACGGCGGAGCAGTCGCGCATATCTGCGGTCACTGCAGATGAAGTCAAAGCCCGCGTGAAGAAATTGAACAGAGGAGCGTCAGACTCAGCCGGCACTGCCATGGAGTTGTCTAAAGCGGGCGGCGATTGCTCGTCGGAGGTGATATCGCAGGTGATCACGAGCATATTGTCCGATGGGGAAGAGCCCTCAGACGTGGCGGCACGCGCGCATCGAAGTACATCCTCAAAACAGAGACCCAAGACTACCTTGCAATTGTCGACCTATATCGATATTGTTTATGTTGTATAGATTGTTCAGCGCGGCTTGCACGGGAGACCATTGGCGCACCGCGCAGAGCAGCAATCTGTTGACCAAGCTGGGTTTCGCAGCGGATGCAGTTGCGACGACCACTTGCTGACGTTAGCTTTGCTGCGCGAAAAGATGCGCGAGCACGGCGTGGACCTTCGTCTCGCCGCCGTAGATTTCGGGAAGGCGTCTGATCCAGTCAGCCGCCCGTCGATATGGGCATCCCTGGAAGAGCAAGGAGTGACTGAGTCCTACATCCGGGTGTTGAGGGCGCTGCGCAGGGGGCAGCCGGGGCGCGTCCTGTCAGACTGCGCGAGCCGCCCGTTTAGTTTGGAGCGGGCGGCCAGGGGGGGGGATCCGATGAGCCCCGCGTTGCCCAATGCAGTTCTTGCATCCTCAATGGGAGGTCTCAAGCGGAAGTGGGGGAAAAAAAGTACGGCGTCGACACTGGAGGCAGGCGTCTCATGAATCTTCGTTTCGCGGGCGACAGTCTGTCGGCGGGGGGCGCGAGGGCGCAAATCAGGCGCATGCTGGGAGATTTGGCAAGTCGCGCCGCTGAGGCTGGGCTGAGACTTCGCGCGGGGAAAAACAACAGTCGTCTCTAGGGTCGTCAGCCGGAGAGGCGTCCTTCCGCAATCTCATTTGCATGGTGGACCAGAGGAGATCGAGGTTCTCCCATTGAACGGAAGCGTTTCTTATCTCGGGCGGAAATGGTGTTTAGATGGTTTCCACGACATTGAATTACAGCGCCGAGTTTCGAAGAGCTGGGCGGCTTTTGGCAATTTTAAGCTTGTGATCTGCCATGCAAATTATCCTTTGCGACCCAGACTGCGATTGTTCGATGCCGCGGTGTCGTCAGGCGTGTTGCATGGGAGCGGCTCGTGGACCCTGACGGCGTCGAGGGAAGCACAACTCCAGACAGCGCTGAGAAAAATGCATCGGACAATCATTGCGACGCTTCTGCGAGCGGGAGATGTGCGGGAGTCGTGCGTTGATCGGATCTCTCGTGCAACCCATAAAGTTGTGGCCGAGTATGAGAAAGCAGGTCTGCGCACATAGGCGCAGCGTTACAGGTCCCGCAAGGGCGCCGCCTTGCGGAAGACCATCGACAGCGCCGACGGTAGGTGGTCGATTGCCGTGTTCGACTGGGCGCCAGGCGGACTCCGGGCGCCAGGCCGACCTTTGAAACGTTGGTCAGACGATGTCAACAACATGTGAGAATGTTTTTGCGAGAGGTGGATGTGATAAGTGGTTGTGAGAAGCTCGTGGGAAGTGGTTGCGACAAGCTTGTGAGGATTAGCCGTGGGAACAGGCAGCGCACCAGCAGCCCGCGCAGGGCGCGCTTCGGCGCACGCCGGCATCCTTGGGAAACAATGGTAAACAGAAGACCGCAAGGGGGGACAACGGGAAACATAAGGAAGGAGCGGGACGCGTAGGTTCACTTACAGAAATTGAAGGAATCATCGGCAACATATATGTAAACATGTGGGAACCCATGGGGACGACTCGAAGCATAACAAAACAGAGGAAGGCACATGGAAACAAAAACAATCAAATGGCATCAAGGGTGAGGAAGCACGAACCTTCGGAGGTAGACCAGGAAGCAAGCGGAAATGAAGGACAACGGAAGAACGACAGACGAGCACAGGGGTTGATTGCGCGGACATTCGTGCGTAAGGTTTCCGCGTAAGCCGCGGTACAAGGTAGCGATGTATTCTCGCGTGAGACTCGTGTCTTCTCGTCGCTCAGACAGGAACATTTAGACACAAGGAAGACACGCAGGGACGCGCTGTGAAGCAGACGGGGGGACACGTTCATCCCCGAAGGTGGCTCGCGCTACAGTTCTGGGAACAGGGGGACACACACCGACCTTGCGGAGATTCCCCGTCTCGGCTGTCCGTAGGAAGCCTCGATTAAGCGCTTTCGGAAACCAAAGGGACACACATGGACGATGAGGGAGACACAGGGAAATTCATCCACCTCTTGACATACAGAGGGTCTCTAGTTTTCCACCGAGAGCCAGAAGGAAGCAGAGGGGCACGTGAAGAAAACAAGCTGGAAACAGAGGGCAACACAGAGACACACAAAGACATCGTGGAACATAGGGCATATTTGAACCCAGCGACTGGTGTGGCATTGTGGCATTGCAGATGTGTTGGCGTATTGTGTGGCATGGATTTGCACTGATTGGCAGTGAGCGGCATTGCTTGACAGGGTTTTGCATTGCTTGGTATCACGTGTCATTACTCGGCATTGGCCTCGCGTTGCGTGGCATTGCCGTGTGCTTGGTAGTGCGCGGCATTGTTTTGCATTGTGTGGCACTGCTTTGCGTTGTGGAATTGTCTTGCATTGCTTAGCATGTCGTGTTTGCCATGCGTCACGAGGCAGCATGGGACCAAGACTGAGGAGCCAATACTAAGGGGCCAAGACCACTGAACCAAGGAACCCAGACAGGTGAATCCGAGGAAGGCAGCACAGAACCAAGATTCAGGAAACAAGGAACCAAGACCAAAAAAACCCAAGGAAGGCCACTGCAAGGAAACAAGACCAAGGAACCCCGAAGAATGTAGGTCGGTCAGGCTTTCCACCCATTCATTTTCTGCACAGTGAGGCAACGTCTCAGTGGCGAATAAGGGGTCATATGGACACGAAGGGAATGGAAAAGGAGATCGAGGGAACCAATCGGAAGCAACGAGAAACATAGGGTTGACGCACACGTGGGGGACACATGTAAATTGTAAACATGACAAAATTATCTGGAGGTCACTTGATGTACCTCTCCATGGGGAAGCACAGGAGAATTGAGGAGGGGTTAGCAAGTTGGAATACGGAGGTCCAGAATGCTAACCTCCAGAGATTAGTTGTCCAACCTTCGGATCCTAGTCGCAAGCCTGCCTTTTCTGCAAATCTTCGACTTTGGACACGGCTTGTGACCCCAGTTGGGTCGGCGGATTTTTCGGCTCGCGCCCAGGGGGTCACTATTCGGCCTCGGGCGCGGCTGCAGTTTTCCCGCGCTGCGGATTCGCAGCCGTTGCGGCAAGAGACTCGATTGCAAAAGTATGATAACAAGTGTCCTTCCTCGCCTAGCACAGCAGCATGTCTGCCCCGTGTTCCAAGCGGGATGGATCCGTGAGGGCCTCCAGGACAGAAACGAGGCAAAACGTTCGTTTGCAATTTCTGCGCAAACTTGTGATATGTCGGCTTTCCTGTCGCAGCGGGGTCAGCTTTTGCTGAGGACGCGTCCCTGAGATTGCCATCACCTTGGGCTTGCCGATCTTGAGGGTAGGGATAAGTTCGAGGCTGGAGGAAGTTGTTCGTCTTCATCTTGCTCGCTGCTAAACTCGCATGGCCGCGACAGGACA